ACTGTATGCAGATTATGTGTATTTTATTATTTTGGGTTAACATAGCTTGACACTGGAAAACACATCATTGTCATTTCAGATGAAGGCTCTTAAACCTCCCAGCTTAGATAAATAAAACTTTGAAAAATGACTTCAGAAGAGGTAAATTCAAATTATGTCCACATAATATGATTCTACTTTGAGAGTTAAACTAGGCCATATAAGAAGACTCAAGTACAGTTACTTAGTCACAATTAATATTCAATAAATGGTCATTATCTGACCACTTACCCTCTTGATAAGCAGTGGTCCTGGCCAATTCCCACAGTGAAGCCCAGTGAATGCATAGAGCCATTAAAGGGCACTGGGACCCACTTGAGTAGCTTCATCTTTTCAGATAGTACGTCCTGAACACTTTTCTGTAGAGGTATTCTGAATGCTTGGAGTGCTAGGGTATTTGACACCGCTTCTTCTCTGTTTAAAGATACAACAGGAGTCCCAACCAATTCTATTTTACATGGACCAAAAGAGTTGAAAAGCTGAAGCCTCAGGGAGATCAATAACAGGTAATAGGTCAAGTAATTGAACACACTGGTGAATATCACTGTTCTTTCGAGTAGAGTAAGAAACTACTACTTGAAGATCAACGTTGTTATTTTGTTCCATGTGCATTGTTATTATTATTTCCTGATTCAGTGCTTTTGTGTGCCTTAACATTAGCTTGCCCTTGCTGCACTAATTGGAGCAAAGGAGAAGTGACAAAAAATAACCTTATTATGAATTAGTTCACTTTGCAGAGTGGGTAACTTAGATTCTGTATCATCATTAAACATGATAGAAGCTGACTGTTAGAAAACAGGCTCTTTTTCTGATAGTGCCCCGGTATTTGTTTCTTCTTTATTATACAAGCTATTTTCTATTTTGGGTAAGGTTATTAGCTTGCATTCCCCAGAAGGGTTTTCCTCATTTGTGTAGATAGAGAGGCAAGTGTTGCCCAAATTCAGAGTAAATCTTCACTCCCTATGTATTACTCTGAGGAATTGCCTTAGAAATACCCCAGTATATGTTTATCTTAATAATTCGTCTATCAATGGGTATTATCTCCTTGTATTGTTGTATAAGATACTATTTATCCATAGAAAAAGACCTCCTTGTAACGTGAATTTTCTGGCCCAGCAGGTCCTGCCACCCTTCTCAGCCCCAAAGAAGCACACATATGCTAATATAAATTATAAAACTATTGACTGATGACTTGAGCTTCTTTTTAGCTAGCTCTGCTTTAATTAATCCAGGTATGTCCACATGGTCTTGGCTTACCAGGGAATGTCAGACCCGCAGCTCCTTTGCCTGCTACATGATGTCTGTTAAGCATCTCTGCAGAAAAGGGACTAATTTCCTATTTGTCCCTGCTTATATTCTGATTCTGCCTAGCTACATCACTACCTGTCTGGCCAATCAGCCAATCAGTGTTTTATTCATTAACCAATAAAAGAAAAATATATACAGAAGAACATTTCCTATCATCTCCTTGTTACTTGAATGTTTTGGGAAGTTAGGAACAAAGCTCTGCTACACAGTTATGTGGCCATCTGTAGGGGGACTTTCCTGATAATTTGGGTCAGTACCTCAATGTGTAGTTGCTGGTTCACTGACAGCGGCTGGTATTAGGTTTCAAAGTTACTATATCACAACACTGTTGGTTATTGTAGGGGGGAAAATGTCATTAAAAACTAAGCTCAGAAGTAGATTTTTCAAAGAAAGTCACCATTGGCAAAGGGACAAATATAATTCAACAAATAAACAATATAATCCTTTGCAGCAAACATTGTTTTAGCTTCATGATAACAAGTAAATTTGCATTTTTATAACTTTACCAGAAAGCTTGTCCACAGTGAGATTCCAGCCATTTATCAGTTGCTGCTTAAGTTTCTCTACTATGGCAGCTACCTTGATTTATTTCAAATAATAACAGACATTGATTTGATACAGAATAAGGTCGCCCTCCTTTCTATAAACTGACTTCACAATTTTCTGTTTGGGGATAAGAGTTCAGTTACCCAATTCATGATGTTAGAAAAAAAGCCAACTTTGAAAATACACAGAAAAGCAAATTTTAAAGGACAAAAATGACATATCCAAATGCTTGTATAATGTGCTTCATTCCTTGAATTTCTGGTGGAATACTCTGCTAAGTGGGAAGATCACAGGGTTATAATCATGGTAACCTAGTTCAGCAACTCCCACACAATGCCGATCCACAGCCCTGCTGTGTTTCTTCCTGGTTTGCGCATGGCATCATCATACAGAACTATGGCCTTCTTCTAGGCCAAACCGAGGGGTGTGTTCAATGTGTTCGGCAAGACTTTTGTTTCAACACTATACATAGAGGGAAACACTTTTTTCCATCTGCTACTCTAGTAATTTTATTCTCTGGAAAATATTAATGGTGCCCCTCTATTGGGAGAGATACAGAACAACTTCAGATTGAAATATTGCAGGTGATACTGTGATAATGGATTGCATTTCTAATAATAATTGGAAAATTCATTAGAAAACTCAAACGCTTACCATCACACTCAATATGGTAATACTAAGCCTTATCTCAAAGAAGTCAATTTCATAATTATATTAGAATTTACTTATTTTAAATTCCTCATTGTATATTCAGAAAAGTCAAAATGGCAAAGAATAAAGTAGAATTAGCTGTGTCACACAGCTCATAGATACTTTCAATATATATGGGTATCTATTGATGACAAAGTGAATTACCATACAAGTATCAATGAGGATTATTCTCACAGTGCATTAGGTAATCATGTGGTGGCCTTGCCTGGCTTGTCTGCAGTCTCCCAAGGCTGAGCACTCCTCAAGGGGTTGCGAAGGGACTATTTTCACAGGCTTTTGTGGTGACCAGTAGGTTGATCTGCTTGTAGCTGTTACACTGCTGACCCCCTGTCTCTGCTGGCTGTCAGTCAGAGGTCAGATCAGCCCACCATGAAGCATATTTATTCCTATGTTTCCTTGCCCATCTTTTACCCAGTGGGACTAAGTTTTGGCCGCCCAATTGTTTGGCATTACTGGGTTCTGCTGGTACATATTTTCTGGCCATAGTTGGAGTAGAAGAGAGAGTATTTGAGGTCAGTAGGTTGATAAAACTTGCTAAATCTCTATACTGTATGGTCGATTAAAACTATCTATAATAATTACTTTTGTCCGTTGGGGCTGTAGGAACTGTAGGCATGGCCACAAGGCATTAAGTGCTACTAATATTTTGCAGAATATTCAATAAGTTGGTTTTCTACAGTCCATGAGTGTTTTAGTCCCCCAGAATAACTTCTAACTTTTAGATCACTAAACTCCAGTTAAACAGTTTGAGAATCATGAAGTTATACACAGTGATATTTGTAAATTACAATAATTTTAACCGAATTATAAAGAGGCATTCTTTAAGACATTGTTTCTCTAATAGTCTTCACCAGCTGTGGTTAAAGAAGTCCTTTGAGAAATAGTTTTCTTTTCTTTTTGTTTGGTTGCTTGTTTGTTTTGTTTTTCGAAATAGGGTTTCTCTGTGAAATAGTCGTGACTGTCCTGGATCTCACTCTATAGACCAGGCTGGCTTTGAACTCACAAGTGCTGGAATTAAAGGTATACACCACGACCGGCCAGCTGAGAAATAGTTTTATATTTGCTTTATGAAGTGGGAATTAATGTTCTATATATATTTTTCTACTTAGAGTACAGCATTGAGTAGCTGGTGTGTTTATATAACTATATTTAAAAATAAAACAAACATTGAAATTTATAGAAGGGCGAGGTGTTGGTGGCTCATGCCTTTAATCCCAGGAGGCAAAGGCAGAAGCAGGCAGATCTCTGTGAGTTCCAAGCCAGCCTGGTCTATAGAGTGAGTACCAGGATAAGTTCCAAAGCTACACATAGAAACCCTGTTTTGAAAAACAACAAAAAAAGAAAGAAAAGAAATTTATAGAAGGTTTCCATTATGCCCACAAATAAACTACATTTTCACTTTGTGAATTCTTGTGTTTCTGGAAGTCAAGACTGAGCATTGTTTTTCTACACTAATATGGGGACTGCATTTTCCCTTGAGGGCATTCACTTCATACCTGTTATATGGATAACCTGCAGGTAGAAAATGTACACTTTAGAGTGTCATGTCATCGCTAGAATTGGGTTTTACAACTTGGAAATTGTTCTTAAATATATATTTAAAACTAAATTGGATGTAAGAAGTACTCACTAGGTCTAATTTTGTGATTTAGAGAGTCATTAATAAAGTAATCACTAGTTAATACTAATATATACAGTTTAGTACTTTATCCAATTTTTGCAACAGTCAGGGGAACTGCAATTGAGCAGCAATTAGTAGCTTGCATGAAATTCAGATGTTTGCAACTGTGTAACCACCTGTTTTCCCTCCTCCCATGTCCTTCTACACTAATGTGACTCTGAAAATGTAATCTCCTCCCAAATGTCCCATAATGTCAATTGTTTGAAACAGACTATGACATGCCACTTGCCATTCCCAGAGTCTAGCTAGTTATTGTCAGGAGAGCCTAAACGGTTGTCTCCAAGTCTCTGGTGAGCTCAAGATTGCTTGTCTGGAGACTTGCTGTGAAACCACAGCCTCTTCACAAGCAGGCTACATCCTTGGTGAGAGATTCACTGTCATCACCTATCCTTGTTCCAGTTAGAGCAAGTCAGGAGCTCTGTAAACCCAGACATCATTGATTTGAAGATGATATTAAACATTCTACTACCATCCTGCAGTCCTTGTTAATTACCTATCACTGGGTGGTCCTAATTGAGTAATTTATTATTCATTGCATGGCAGGCTGGTTTTTTTCCCTCTCTCTGGCATAGTGTGTAAATGTATCTGTGTATTCTGGAGAATTCTCTGATACAGTTTGTGATTACAAAATTACAAATAAGGGAAATGGGGTCTGCAGAGCCAGAAAACTGCCTGGAATCTTTAACAGATGAAGCAAAGACTCTCTTTGTGAACATATACTCAATTCATTGGACTATTGTCTGTTGGTCTCTATTTCTTCACTGTTAATTGGTGACGTTTTTCTCTTTACTTTGCATATGAACATCTATAGAAGGCTTCTTTGAGTGTGTTCAGTCTTAGTATTTCATACTTCTAATCAAACCTATTTCTACAAATAATCACTTTGTAATATTGTCATTGTGGAGTATAATTTAAAACTTACTGTAAATATATTGAAATTACATTTAAAGTTTCCTTCTGTAGGAACAGGAAGATCCTATTTGATGTCATTACTGCCTTGGAGCATCCCTTTCTGCTAAGTCTTGTTAATGTGTCTTAGGCTTTAATATTCATGATAAAACTGGAGTTGTGGATCATGGTAGTACACTGGTATAGTATGTGTAAAGTTTGATCCCAGTACTAAAAGTAAGTCCTTTTCATTATACCAGGAGATAAACCAAATCAGAAGTGGTTTGATAAAATCTAGTCATGTAACCTTCGGGGAGAAATGTGAGAAGGAGGGTCAGATGAAATGGAAATGCTATTTTCCCTGATATAATCAGTACATTCTTAGCCATGTATTATAGTTTCTTACTCTGTCCCAAAAATGTCGAGTTATTAAGTGTAGATATAAGAGATGAACAGTGTTTGTTACATGGCAATTACCTGAGTTTTTCTTGCAAAACAACCTACAAGCGGGTGTGAGATAAAAAAGTTAGAAAGAATTTCAAGCAATGTGCTACGTCTCAAATAGTACCTTTTAGCCACCACTCACACATTTGCACACACACACACACATATACACACACATGCACACATACACTCACACACTGTAAACCTTCAAGCCAATGCCTTTCAGTTTGTCTCATAAATCCATTATGATTTCCCAGAAAAAACTATTGCCATAGTAACTTGAAAGCCATTGTAGTCAAAATTAAAACAACATTTTGCAGGATATTGATTTATGTTATGTACTATCACTCAGATTTAATTAGATGTACTATGGCTTTTTTCATGCTGTGGACCTTGAATCTAATCGGACATCTATATTTCACTGAACCAGAAGGTAGAGATTTTTCATGTTGTTCACTTACATGCTGTGTTTTCCGTTTTTTCCATTCATATCGATACAATATCCTCATAGTAAAGCCAGGTTGAATAGTGTCATCCTGTTTGTTTCTTCTCTGTTAACCCGGGTCCTCCATCTACAGTAACGTTTTTCTGAACTCAATCTCACTCTGAGTGCTGTTTTCTCTCTTCCCTGTGCTATAGTTAATCTGAATTCCATTGCTAACCTTTCTGTCTGAATGACATCTGTTTTTAACATCACATAATTCTACGGACATCTGTTTTCCTTTTTTTCTGAAATCAGTTTTTCCACTTTTAAGGTATATATTACAAACTGTATCACAGTGTATAATGGTTAATATCAATGCATTGCTTCACTGGCCAACTGTTGCCCCTTCTTTCCACAAGCACCTTTCAGGAAAGAAGGATAGAAGAACACAAGGCTTCCATCAAGCCCCGCTCCAGTCCCAGTCTTCTATTGGACACCTATTTTGATAGCCTAATCTGTCCTAGAGTTTTGTGATGTAATTTTTTTGTTTTTGTATGAAAAACTGAAAGCTCAGTAAATTCTACTGATGAAGAAATGTAAAACTTTATTCCATGCAAGTACTTTGAGAAATTGCAAAGTCCCGATGTCTTCCATATTTTCTGAGAAATGCTCGACTGGGTGACTTTTCCAGGGTGATATGACCAGAGCTGGTACTGAGATACTTCTACCTATATCTTATTAGAAAACCAATGAGTTTATTTTGTTTACTTATTAGATATGTGAGTGAAGCATTGTTTTTCAGAAACATTGGGCAGTCAAAGGTACCCACAACACCAAAAAACCCACCCCAGATTGGAGCAGAGATTCACAAAAGCTGTGTATTTGGAAGTTCTCAGTTTGCAGTCAGCTCAGCTACTCAGAGAGTCTCCCTTTTCCAGCAACTGGTCCTGCTTATGGAATGTGGAGGAGGGACTTGGTAAATGTTTCAGCTTCCAGGAACTTGCTTAACCTTAACAGTAGTTTACTTACTAGGTTTTATATGTTTATTCATTCCCTGGGTCCTATGACTTTCACTCTGAGAGGTAAATGCTTCAATTCGGAGAATCAGCTACATAATAAGTCTTTTCCTGTGCATCATGGGTAGAAGATAACTTACCCAGATGCTCACATATATGGACCCACAGGAAAGTGGTCAAAGTTTTATGGAAGGAGGCAACACAGTATAGGGGAGTCTGAGACCTAGTATATAAGTAAAAGTATTCCCGGACTCTGGAATAGAAAAATTCTGATTTAAGTATGTGCTTGAGAAAAAAAAAAAAAACAACAACATCAAAGTGATTTTGGTTTGCCTCCATAAGAGAATTTCCTAAGAAATCTAAAAAGAAGACCAAAAATGCATAGAGAGGTAAGACATGTGATGAAAAGCTGTATTGGCAGTGGCTATGACAGGTATGTAGGCAGGACCAGGTAGCAAATCAGAGCCTAGGGCTGCAGGGTGCTCCATGGATAGATGCCATGGAAGTAACTGCTTCATGCTCCGTGAGGTACACATAATCTGTGTTGTCAACTGTCCTCAGAGGATTTGCTCATGCAAAGAGCTGAGGAGCATCTGTCCATGCCAGGAAAATAAATCTAATATGTCATGAGTGAATCTGGATTCAGGTTTTTGTGGCTTCTAATAATGTCCACTAATGTGAAATATCACAGGGTGGAGAGAAAACTGTTCCAGAGGGCTCCCGTGTGAACCTGCACTCTGGCCAAGTCAACCTGCCATCCATTTCTGCCCTGCCCGCCTGAATCTGTGAGACTTCTGTGAGGATACAGTTTACCCAGTGTTTTGGAGAGATTTACTCCAAATCATTACATTTTCTCTAACAGGCTACAACATTATTGTGATTATTTGACTATAATTGAATTATATTGCAAGACTGACATTTGTCTTTGACTCTGGAAGGGAGCTGGCCTCTTTGTCATCATAACCATCAGCCAGCCAGAGCTCTGGTGGCAGACACAAATGCCAGGCAGCCCTAATCATATGAAAAGTGGTGTGTGTGTGTGTGTGTGTGTGTGTGTGTGTGTGTGTGTGTGTGTGCGTGTGTGTGCGTGTGCATGCTCTTGTGAGCATGGATGTGTATACAAATGTGTGAAAAATCATGAAGACCCATGTGAATTTGGCTCCCTATTTTCAAGTGTTAAAATCCCAACTGGCACTTCCTGAAAACATGACTACTTCTGGAGACAACATTGTTAAACAGGTTAGTGAGTTAAACTGGGATTATAAGGGCAATTTCTACTGTAATATGTGGAAGCCCTTTAAGACACCTCACAGGCCATTCCTAGGACACCACCACCACAATATTGGACTACTCTTTCTTCCAGAATTTTGAACCAAACAAACTATTTTACTTTATATATTTCCCCACATTTAAGTATGTTACAGTAATGTAAAATGAACTAAGCCCTCCCTACACATCTCCCTAGAGAAGAAGACCCATCAGACATAATGGCCCATCTCTCACCACTGCCCATGGTAATAACTTCCAGATCTGATTGTACCCTGCCCATGAATTCAGAGCAAGAGAGAACTCAGTAAGCAACCCAGGGGCTGAACAGATACCTCAGTGGCTAGGAAGCAGGAAAGGAAGCAGTCATGTACCAGGAGACAGTCACATGAAGTGGCCTTGCTTTATATCAACTCTCTTTCACCAGACCTTATTCCTGCAAGAATGAACCCTTTCTGGGGAAAAAAAGAATTAATTCATTTTTTTAGGATGAAGACTCAAGAGTCAGTTACCTTCTATTAGGCCCAGTATAAATGCTCCCACCATCTCAGCATTGTCACCCTGAGACAAAATTTCTAGTGCATATACATTTGGGAAGCATACCAAATCCAAACCACACTAAAGGACTTGAAGCTCTGACAAGCGCCTAACTCAATAATATGGCACACTTTGTCAGCTTCTCCCTGTTAATCTTAAATGCTTCAGAAAGGCATGGTGGATCAATGAACAACTGCATGGGAAGGGTGACTGAAGCCTATGCCACATTTGTTGACTATCTGTGCCTTTAAAGTCACAAGGGAACAGTTATACTCCCCATATTCAAAGATTCCAATAAAAAGTCATGAACACAGCTGATTTTATTTTATTTGACTCTGAAATAAAATTAATGGGATTGTCTTAAAGCAGCTTATAATGGGGTGAGGAAATAAAAACCTCATTTTATCCTTGTGGGAGACCTAAGAGGAATCTGCCCTTCATAACTCCCTTTTTAAAAGGATGAGACTGAAGATTGCTTAATTCTCAAGGTCACCCAGCAACTGAGAATTGTAGTCAGCCTGCAAGTTCTGGCATGCCTGAACACAAGTCTGTATTTTCTGTTTCTTCTTCAGCCAAAGACTGACATAAAGCTATTAGCTCCCAAGGACTCCATATGTCTTTCCAGTTTCCTGACCACCTGAGCCAATAGCAGGTGAAGTAGAATCCAAGTTTTAGCTATGGTGTTTCCTATTTCAATGTACATGTAACCACAGGATATGAGAGGGGACACAGAACTTTCTACTTTCCTTTCCAGTCTGGATCAGGAGATGGTGACAACCAGTTGACTATGTGTCACATCAGTGCAGAGAAGACTTTGTGGACAGACTTTATTTTTTGCTGCTTGCATTTCCTTTTCCTAAACTATAATTTCACATATTAAAGGAAAAGCTATGTAGCATATACAAAGGTAGCTATGCTATTTGCCATAATGTAGATAATCTCAGTGCTTCTGCCTTCTAGATTTTCAGCCAGTTTCTCTCTTAGGACTGAAATGTGTATCCCTTTGAAAATCACATCACGACAATGTCCATTTGGATCTGGTCATCCTATTGTTTCTCTTTTCTCTCCTTAAGAAGGAGTACACTAAAAGTTGGCACTATTTGGCATCTGTTGTATACTATGACCTTAAGGATGTGCCTAGACTACCCTTTCCAGTTCTACTTATCCAACCTGCTTCTATCCATGATGATCTTGCAGCCAGATTTGATTTCTGCCTTGGCAAATTTTAAGAATTGTTCCTGCTCCTTATTCATTAATTTATCCCACACTTTAACATCTTCTCTATCAAAGATTTTATGTGAAACTTACAGGGTCATTACAAAGCTTGAGAAGACTGACAAGGATCCATCTAGTCTGTCAAGAGCACTCAGAGCCACCATTCACAATACCAATGAGACAGATAAGCTTACAATCTCTAGTAAAGCGGGAAGGGACTGGAGGAGACATGAATCTCTAATATAAGGAGATTTTTTCTTTCTGAAATGAGGGTTGCCTCTGATCTCTGAGGCAAGGTATGACCACTGGCACAAAAATGGCATGGCTGTTATGTGGGAAACCACTTCTGATTGAATTTGAAGTTTTCTGCAAAAAGGAATTTCATGTGTGATAAATATTTAAAATGTATAATTTCTGCTCAATATTTTGTGAAATAAATAAATAAATCTATGATAGTATATCAGCTCCAGCCAACAGAACTCAGGGTAGGTACTGGGTATATTTCATTCCTCATATGTGCATGATCTTAAAGAGAGGTGAAGCAAGAAAGATATTTCTGATTGACTTGTGTGTCTTACTGAGTCTTTTAAGCTCCTAAATATTTCCTCTAGATGGCTGTGACATAATCGCCTTTGATTTCACATTGCACCATGACTTAGATACAGAAGGAAATGGTACTGAATCTATCTTCATCACATAACATCTCTGAGATTTTATTTTGCCTTGTAAAAGCATGACTGGATAAGGGGCACACCTTTTCAGTATTGCTATCAATTTTAATGATACAATACCTATAAGCCTCACCTTTACTCAGTATGTCTCTACTTGGTGTAATTTTGAAGTATTCAAATTCCTTAGATCTTCAACTTCCGATTTTCTCTTTCTTTCACCTTAACTGCAATGTTTCTCTGGTGTCAAAACCAGTGATCCATATCCTTAGTCACAAGCAATCAGGCCACAGTGAGTTGTCTCTGCACCTCTGGAATGTACGGAGCTTCACACCAATCTAATACAACTGATAGTATACATCACAGAATAAAATATTCATCAAAATTATGTATTGATTAATATTTAAATTCAGAGATTAATATTACTAAATCCCAAATAGTTATATATCTAGTTTACCATTTCTATTATTAAATGTGTATATATTTATATATATAACTTATATTGCCTTTAATATGTTGACTTTTACAATACTAATAACATGCCATATTAATACATTTCTTCAGCAATATATGTAATAGAATGCTTATTTGATTCACAGATGAGGCCCAACTCAGCACTTAGGAATCTCAAATATGTGACTAATTCTAAGAAAGGCTAAAATACAAAGCACATATATTTACTAATGCATTATGAAAACCTTAACATATATAAAGATATACATATAATTAAGCTAAAAGGAACTTAAAGCTCTCTCCCACTGCACGAAAGGCAGAAGTGATATGAATACATTTTGAAAGCCTAGTAGATAGTTTGCCAGTTGCCTAATTTATCTGTGTGACTCTCATACTCCAGCACAAGTGTTCATAAATGACTAGAAGACAAGGAAACCATGTCTGTCAGCATGTACTTTTCTTACATAGCTGGGAAGGATGGAGCAGAGACCAGTGCATTTTTTTGTACCTAGCTCATTTATCCATTAACCTATTAACTTGTCTTTCTTAACAAGGTTTGGTAAAAAATAAAGCCACATATCAATTAACCTTTAGATAATAAAAATGATGCTTCCATTATCCAGAATCATAGTATTCCTAGTACCACCAATGATTTATATAAAACTTTATCCAATTTGTCCTTCATGGAAATGCATGGAGATGGGTATTCAAAAATGGCATTTTCCTTCTTGCAAGCAAGTGTTCGGTGGGAGGCAATGTGTGTGTGTGTGTGTGTGTGTGTGTGTGTGTGTGTGTGTGTGTGTGTGTGTGTGTGTGGTGTCATCAGACCCAGAGCCTTGTAAATAGTATGCCCTTACTCAACCACCAGCCTATACCCCTCAGGCTCACCAGTTCTTTTCAACAGATGCCTTCCTTGAGGATATCACAGACTTCAGCCACTGTTTTCCATCTGTCTGATCTCTGAAACACAGAGCAGATGTAAATGGCAGATTTCTGAGCCATTCAATTACATTTCATGCACCACTGACCCAAACATTTCTCCTAACTCTTATCTGAGTTGGTAGCAGATGTGAAAAGCCAAAAAGCATTTCAGATTAAAGATTGAAACATATTGTATGTTGGCTAATATATGTTACAATATTACAATATATGTAAGTGGCAAAAATGCATCTCCACTGTAGCAATAACCATGATGCAGAAGGAGACCGCATGATTAAGTATTCCATATTTCTTTACTATAACTTGCATGGTCCCAAAAGAATAAAAAGCAGTGTCAAATATACAATGGAATTACAGGCTTCCTGCAATATGTGAAACACCAACACAGAGCTAATTGGTTTGGGCTATATCAGCCCTTCTTTTGCTAACCCATAACACCTTGCTAAAACAATTTCATTTCTGAGAGTTTGTATAGACAGGAAAATTTTCAGGACTGAGGCTGATGGACCCAACATTTAGGACTCTGAATTACCAGCAACACATCAGTAGTTGATTGGCTGAAACCATCCTTTGAATCAACTAACTGAAGCACAGATCCATGCAGTTTATAGATTGCCAATTAATATTCAATAAGTTGATTGAATGCAAATTATTGACTAAGTCAGTTTTATAAGTTATTTTGGATATGCAGGCATGAAATAGAGAAAGGAAAAGAAAAAAGTTAACCATGAATAATCTATCAGTGTACTCTGAGTAGTAGAAATCTGTGTGCTTTGGAGAAAAGAAAGATTTTCATACTGACCTTGAATTGAAGAATGGATTGTCGCAAATCAAGTGCTGAAATTACACACAGATTCTGTCACTTAAAGATGAGGTGTACAGATGGAAGATATGAGCAAATACCGCCAAGGACATTGTCATTGAAAGACTCCAAGAAGTTTGTTGTGGGATTGTATTTTCCAACTAGGATAATGGAAACTGCCTCTATGAAATGGCCTCTTGCTCTGTGAATCGAGTAGAAGAGAGGGAGGAGGGAATATATGAACAAAAGAGGTCAATATCATGATGGAGAAATCTACAGAAACAACTGAACCAAGCTTGGGGAAACTCACAAACTCTAGACTGACAGTGTTAGAGACTGCAGGGGACTCAACTAGGTCCTCCATACATTGGGAAACTTGGAATATCTGAGGGTCACCTGGTAGTATGACCATGGTACAAACCTGATACATGAGTTAGCTTGTTGGAGTCCATTCCCTAAGATGAAATGCCATGATCAGCCATAGTGCATGGTAGAGGAGCTTGGCCCTGTGCCTACCTGTTGTGTCAGACTTTGTTCTCTCCTGATGAGAGCCCTTACCTGTGAGGAGGAGTGGACGGGGGAGAGGTTGTGGAAGAGGCAATGGGGGCAAGAAGAGGGGTGGGAGGGATAACTGTAGTTGGAGTGTAAAATGAAACTTAAAATAATAAATAAGTGATATAAAAAATCTGAACAATGCTTGCACCAGTTTACCTGCCAACGCAGATGAGGAAAATCACATGGGATCCCAGCACTAGATGAAAACTAGGGAAAAAGTCTTTTCCAGAAGTGAGCAACTGATTGGTCATACAATACTGAGTTGTCATCAGCCCTAGAAACATATGTAGGTAAGCAACTCTGAACAAACTCATGAGGTTGTATTTATATGTTCACCAGTTTATATGTATATGCAATAACAATAGTTACAGAAGAGGAGATTGTGAACCGGAGGTGTTGTATATGGGAGAGGTAGGAGGAATTAGAGAAAGGAATGAAATAATACAGTTATATTTTAGTTAAATAATAAGACTACTTGTGGTTGCAAAGGTAAGTCACTTGAATGAAGAGTCTTAGCTAAAAATCATACATTTAAAGACAATGTAAAATAACAGAGGTAATTTACCTTGGCCAACCTTTTGTTAGCTACTTGTTCCCAGTGCTCTGCCACAAACTGAAAACATGTATTCCTCAGAATATGAATTTGATGTTATTAAGTTCCATACATAGGATCATAATTAGGTCTGTCCTCATCTAGTCTTTGATTCCTCCTTTCTACCTGATTCTGTCAATTTGAAGAAATGGTCCACTATTAGACTCAGCATTGGCCTATATTAGAATTAACAGTCCCTTGCCATGTTATTGTAGACCTAGGTATATCTGAATTTATTTTCCTCTCACCTATCACAAAGACCATTTATGATCTGGGTCAGTGATTCATTGCTCACAAGAATGTTCATTGTACCTTAACTCTGTGATGGTCACATTTTAACCAAGCAAATCTAACTGGCTTTGGAAAGATGCCCAAAATATAAACAGGAGCTGGAGAAGTCCCACGGACACTGTCAGTGCCGCCATTGGTGGATTCCCAGTGAGGCTTTGCCTCCACACAATCTTAATGCAATCTGCAGAACAGTGAGGCTGGAAATGCCAGAGTTCTCCATTTAAATCATTTTGAGCAAAACATGGATTATATGAGCATATCTGTTGCAACCTTCATGCCCAGTGGTAATTTTGCAAAATTACTGAAAATCTATTTTAGGGCAAACTTGCCATTTAAATTAGGTGGTTTTAATTAGCATCTTGACTGCATGCAGTCAACAGCAGGAAAGGAAGGATAGAAAAAATTACATCAGCTTATTTTTTGTTGTGGAAAAATATAGAAGAGTAATACATAGAAAAAAATAACTCCACATAATCTGAAGCAAGATGGCATGCAATTTCTTGGAACCTTCACATGAATTGAACCAAAATGTCATGCAATTTTTTAAAACATCAAAGTGGTAAATTTTTCTATCCTATATGTAACTTGTGCACTGAAGGATTTTTTCAAAGTCTCCTTCCTATGGTACTCATGCTTTTTCCATTCTCCACAGACACTGTTATACTGGTATTGTTACTCTAACACAGATGCTAAATGCATTCTCATTCCATATCCCCCACTATTACTGATATTTGCCTGTCATTCAAACCAGAATTCAAAATTTACTTGTAGCTTGTGTAAATAAAAACTTGGTCCCAAATGTCACCTGTGTCTTGAGAGCTACAAATACTGTGAGGCCACAGGGGAAGATAATAATATCATTTATGATTGACCTGTGCCTACGCAGCATACTGGGCAATAGTCTCACTGTAACATATTAGTTCTGTGAGAGGTATGCTCTTATTCTATCCTGCTTTACAAGCCAGGAAAGAAAGATATGAGTTTCTTGTCCCAGTCAGTATTGGTAAAGAATAGAATTGGGTTTGATGCAAAGCCCATTATAGATGCAACTTACAGTGATGCATACTTGCAAATTGTATATAAAGTGCAGTCATCTTGTGTGTGTGTGTGTGTGTGTGTGTGTGTGTGTGTGTGTGCGTGTGTGTGTGTGTTGGCTTTACGGACGCTGTAACGATACGCGACACACAATTACTGAAAATAAGGCTAAGTATTTTATATAGAAAATTACTCACAAGATACCAAACCCCGAGAAGCCCAGCAGATCTCAGCTAGCGACTGGACCGGAAGCCGAACTCCAGGAAAAGAGAGCGAGACTTCCTGTGCGCTGTCTTTTATGCCTTCCCCCGTAACGCCCCTAGCCATGCCCAAAAGTGGGCTTGGCTAGTGACGTAGTTCCGCCTACGTACGTATACGTCTTTACGTCCAGCCGTATACGTCTTTAGTCCTGCCTAAAGTGGGTGTGGTTAGCGGTGTGGTAAACCGCCCTTTTATTACCTCATCTGTATGCGCCTCTAGTAAGTCACATGTTTAATGGCGGCATAGACTTAGTAAGTCACATGTTTAATGGCGGCATCAGACTTCCTCCTACATGTGTGTATGATTGCGTCTATTATTCTGTGTTTAGAGGCAAAAGGTCCAAAAGTTCAACATCAGATATCTTCCTTTCCACCTTATTTTTGAGATAGGGCCCCTCACTGAAGGTGGAACTCCCTTAGCTCTGCCTCTACATCACTGTAAGTCTCAGATTCTACAGCTGCCTGTGGATTTTAACTCTGGTCCTCATGCTGCTTGGCTGACTGTTTACCAACTAAAACATCCTCCCAGTTCCTCCAGTCATTTTTGTTTCAACAACAAAATAGACTCAGTGTTTGTCTGCTAAATATTTGACAGCATTTACCAGTCTAACATGTAATCTTTCATTTGTTTCTTTCATGGAACCAGGCACAGAATACAAGGTGGGATAAATGTAATAGGCAGAAGTCAAAGATCGAAGAGTTTTCTAGACTCTGAGGAATCCTAATTATTTATAGTTCAACATATAGTACTACCCAGGAGGAATGTTTCCAAAGAAGATATTTAAATATTTTCATGTGATATCAAATATAAAAGTAGTGATTGGAAATGGGCTATGAATACTTTCATTTCATTTATTTTTATTATGAAACTGTTGTATTAGTTTGTTTTCTGTAGTTACATCACAAACTTGTTTGGGAAATCCCATCATTCTGTAACACATTTTAGCCCTTGTCCTCTTATGATAGAAAGAACTACAAACTCTCTTATTGGTTTAGTTACAATCTGAAATCAGACAATGCAGAGATGAAGTTTTGTCTGTAATGGAAACTATTTCTTGTCATACCATAGTAGTTGGTCTTGCTGTCAGTGTAGTAAAAGTGGCTGCATGGTTTGGGCAGAATGTTCTGCCCAGGGCTTCAACAGAGTCTCAATGGCTTCTCACTCTGTTGTGATGGGGCCTCCTGAACTCAGTGAAGTTTGATATTGCTAAAAAGACAAAAGGGATTCCACTTACATAGTGCTACACTCCTGTGCAACAGCTTGGTTAGTTCAAGGCCCACACTGGACAACATTCAGGAGTGACAATCCATTTCAGGGAGCAGCTGGGGGCATGGTCATTTCAGGAATGGCATCTTGGCCACCACATTCAGAGACTGAGCAACTCCAATATGGAAAAATACAGATCTCTTTTGTACAGAAGAAACAGATTTGGCTAAATACTAAATTGTAAAATGGACACACAGTGTACTGGAAGGATCATAAGAATTTTGCTTCCAATTTATAGAATCTGAACTTGGGCCCTGGTGCTGCCACTCCCTTCCCTCAAGGGTTAGATGCTTAATGTCTCTGAAAAGATTTTCCATGATAACATCTACCTGCTATAATGAAGAAACTAAAAGCGTTGAAAGTTGGAGTATGTTGGAAAAACACAAACATTAGAAAGGGTCACTAAGGATTAAGAGAAGCCATGTAGCCTTCTAGAGTGCCTGGTGGAAGCTGACTGAGAAAGGAAACCTGTAAAATGTTCATTCCATCATGGCAGCTTTATGAAGAGTGAAAATAAAGACAGTTTCCCTAAAGTTTGTTAAAGGATTCATATGACAACAAGCAATTCTGTGAATGAACACTGAAAATCTGGACTGCTACTTCAGTCCAAATTTGAAGATTTGAAGACTAAAATAAACCAAGAAATGCTTGTATTTTATGTTTTAATGTTACTTTGTGTAATTAATCTGCTTCATTTGTTTTCTTTTTTTAGAGCAGGGTCTCATTCTGTAACCCTCCCCTCCAGGTAAAGATCCTCCTGCCTCAGCCTCTCAAGTATGCTGGACGATAATCCATCTGATATAATGAAGAAACTAAAAATGATGAAATACGGACTATATAGGAAAATACACAAACATTAGCCCACATAAGTTGATGCAATCTGGAAACAAACATACATCAGCCTAGTCAATGAAAAGACACATGGAGCGGTAGACATGTAAATTATGAAATGAAGTGTTAGATAGGGAGTGGAAAATTCCAGAACTGTTGAGGTGCTGCTGTGGTGAACTTTCCAAGCCAGTTGCTCTCTGATGATCATCACTGGGACACTGCAGCATTCTTACCAAGTATCCTGCTGCATGAGTTAAAGATCATTGAGCGTT